CCCAAATTCCACGCCTCAATCTCCACTTACAAAAATGCAAAACCACGTCTTACAGCTCAGTCACCTATAAAAACCCTTCTTGAGAGACTGTCCAAAGGGGAAGAAAAAGATTCATTAATGAGTGAAATTTCCTTCACCAGGATGAGAGGAGGCTGAGCATTTTCCAGTACGACCCAGCCTGTTCTTGACTGACCTAAGAGCATGTTGCTGTCAGAAAGATTCACAGCAAGAAATCCCGCATGATTTTCAGGGTGAATGACATGCTGCTTTTTTAAAGAGAAGCAGTTATACAACTACAGAAACTCTAAAATATGTGGGAGTTACATGGCTGGGGTTGCAGCAGCTTCAGGAGGAGTGAAGAGTGAGGGTGGGCACTGGCACATGCCAGAAACTGGTGAGATTTTCAGTGTCCAGGGATGGGCCACAAGAACAATTCTCAGCCTGGAGCAACAGGGTGTGTGTGTTCATAGAGAAGAAAAGGAGGGTGGGAGATACTGGAGACACCATCCTCATGGGGAGGGATGTCCAATCTGCCAACCTGCCCTGGTGATATCATGGGAAGTCTTAGCCTTTGAAAGAGACCTGGACCCAGCCTGTTGCCAAAGTTTTTCCAGCCCTTGGAGTATTGCAGCTCTTCCATCTGGGCATGAGCAGTACTGCCAGGGTTTATTCAGAGCCTGTCAAGGGTGACTGCAGAGTGCTGAGGGTAGGGTGAGGTGTGAGGGCCTGTGTGCTGCAGCTGAGACTGAAGGGCTCAAGCAGAAGTCAACAGATCTTTCAGGACAACACCTGATTCTGCTGCTGGTGGTGCAACCAGAGCATTCACACTTGTGACTGCAGGATGTTCTCTGGCTGTGTAAGGAAGAACACAATGGGAAAACTGGCACAACAATGCAGGCGTAGTAAAGCATTTAACTTCTTTCATTTCATTCTTACTGACTTTAGTCCTTTTGTTCTACCTAAATATAAAGTTCTTCCACACTGCAACTGTAAACAGTACTACAGTGCTGCTTCTAGACAAAAATTGTTCAGTTGTGAAGGGATAGAAATATGGAAAAAGCCTGTGAGAACTGGGTAGCACTTTTTGAATTAAGGTAATTGCTCAGGAGTCACCATCAGCAAAAAAAATATGTGCCAGTACCAGTTTTAGCAGCCGCAATAATGTTGTGAGTTGTTCAGCACCTCCATGAGACATCATGAAGTATAGCAGCTTACATAGACCATGTTTGAATCTTTTTAGGCATTAAAAAAACGTGTTGTGTATGGCCATCTGTGGTTATGTATTTTTGCCATGTATTAAGTATGTTTTTATCCATGATGCCATAAAACACAATGGGCTTACAGAATAGCATTAGACCTTGGGGACTGTAAAGAGGATATCTGTAAAGAGGATATCTGCAAGGGTTCTCTCAGTGGTCTGTTGCAGCAATTTGAGGTATAAATAGCAATCAGGACATTAGCTTTGAGACTACCCCTGAGGCACTCCTGCATCATATTTTGAAAACAAAAAGACATTCTTGATCAAAACATAAAGACATTCTTGATCTCTGTCCTGAGGAAGTGGGGCTGGAATGTGAACCATGTGAATCACCATTGTTTTAGGAGAACTGTACAATGCAAGGAAGAGAAAATAAGTGCCTGCATGGGATTGAGTAGAGCAGTCTTACACTTGATACCTGTCTGCTGGGCACAGGAGATTTGTCAGAGACAATATACCAGCTTATAACTGTGGAAGATGTTGTATTTTATGCATCTGGCTAGTGAATCCTGCAATTGATTTCTGCTACAAGGAACAGGGAACTCTTCCAGGTGTTGGAGCTCACAATGGGAGTCATTAAATGGCAGCACGTATCCCAGCTGCATCTTCCTTCCTCTTTCCCAGGCTTCTGTTTCTGTGCCAGTAAATACTCTGATAATCTTAGAGAGAACTACAGCAAAGTTTGTATTTAGGTGTAGCACTTGAATGAATGTTTTCACTACCTCAACTTCCAAACTCACCTGACAAGCTGGAGCCTGACACGACTTCATTGTCTACGAGGAAGTAGTACAGCATGATTGTCCAGGGTAAAAACAACTAGAATTACAGTAATATAATTTGACTTTAATATTTCTCTTTCTATCTAATATATTACAATTCATTCTTGTTTGCATCTGTATATCTGCCCCTATAAGACTTGTATCTTTGTCATGGGCAGTGTTTCTGGCTCTAGCCTGAATGCAGAGTATAATTCAGGACTCATACTCAGCAAGCATCTGGGAATAAAGTACATGTGATGTGCCTGGGTAGTATTTGTCAGAACAAATCTAATCCACCTCTTTGAGAAGAGGAAGACTTTGCAAGTAAAATGCTTTCTGGTAGAAACATGAGAGTAGACCATGAACATAAACAATAGCAGAAATCTTTGGGGAAAAAGAAAGATACATATGTGGGATAATAGGTGGGATGGGATGAACAAAAGCAGCAGTTTATTCTTGTCTTACACACATGGCACAACATACAAAACCAGCACAAATAACTTACAAAGTCTCATACACCATGCTTTCTCTTGAATAGCTTCTATTAAGTTACAACACCATAACGAATCAGGTATTTAATTACGACAGATCTCCAGACATGGATAGTCTCCCATTCAAGGGGTTATTATTTTTGTAAGCTACTTAGACAAACATCATTTTTTTTTACATGTTTAATACAGTACAGTATCCTTAACAGAGTTCAAGATATTCACAATGAGAATTGAACACTTTATAAAACAGCAGAATTTCTCACCTCAGTACAGGCCTACATTAGCTCTCCTGCCTCTTTCTGGTTTAAAATGTGTTACAAGTCGTCTTTACTCAACTTTTCAAACTGAGAATTGCTTTAAATGAAAAAAAAAATCTATTTACAAGGTTTCTTTAGATTTAATAAAAATGTCTTTTCTTCCCTTTCCAATTCCAACTCCCCTACCCCCAAAAAAAATTGCCATTTAGCTGGTAGAAATATTGACCCTCAAGCTGCTATAAAAACTAAAAAAAAAAAAAAAAAAACAACAAAAACTTAAAAAAAAAAAAAATTGGTGACGACTCATTGGATGCAAAATGAAAAATGATCATCACAGCCCAGCATCAATTCAAAAAGATGAATTGTTATCCCCTAATGTCATATATTGTGTTCATTGGAGACAGATGAAGCCTGTCATCTGATTTTTAGAGATAAAGAACTACTTATGGGCCAGCGTACAAAACCTCCATCTTTTTTATTTGCAAGATGCCCCACTCTTTTTGATGCAATAATTTCCAGCTCAGTTCTTTGCTTCTCAGAAATTGTTACAACTCTGATTGTGTCATACAAAATTCTCCCAGTCTCCATTGGATAAAACCATGTTTCCTCATATCCATGGTCCAGTGACATTTCTGGGTTGACTCAGGAGAGTTTTGCTCTGTGGTTGCACTTCAAACCCCACTCAAACCTGTGAGCATCTTTCATTTGGTGGCTTTGGATTAGCTCTGATTGAATGTGGCTGGTAAACTCTAGCCCTTAAGCAGTAAATCAACGTTCTAAAGAAATAATCAAAAAAGATTCCTCTCTTTTATACATATAATACGCAATATTTTTACATTTAGCATTATCATAAAAAGCATGTTTATGTTATTTTGAAAATGTATTTTTACAGAAATCTATAAACACTGTTGTATCAAACACATTCTCAAAAACTGGAGAAAATACTGACACAAAACCTGGAAGAGCCTCAATGGAATTCTTCCAGTACTATTTGTCTACTTGCATATTTCATATTTCAGTGTCCTTTCCTGCAAACATAATTTGGCCATATGAGAACAGGTAAAGTAGACAACAAATCCCCAACAGTTTTAAGTAGGACCTAGGTCTGTTGTTTAATGAAAGTATATTGACATTCAATGTATGTTTGGTTTGTTCTAACCTGGCATGCCCATTTTGCTACCTTTACTCACAATGAGCAGTGCCTTATTCCCAAGTAGTCTTGTTTGCTTCAATGGGATTACACATGACAAATGACGTATGCAAAAATACTGAAAATGGTTTTCCACTTTTTCAACCCTTCTTTTGTCAACAACGAACATCACTATCTTCTTCTTTATATATATTTTACTTGAAAATGAAGTAGGACTAATACTTGCAAACAATTCTGTATCAGAAGTTAGTGCACAAACTTTAGGAAATAATCTGCTTATAGTTGTGCTATAGTTCTGACAGCTTAAAAACTTATCTGGTGTGACCAAGACTAAATTTCACAGGTCTAAATGCTTTATTTGTACACTTGTTACTGTTACACTGGATATTTCCTCAGCATGACACAATTTAATTTTAAATAGATATGTGTCACACTGACATGAAATCAGGATGCTTTTTCCCTTACCACCACCATTTTCAGTACAGTCAGTAATGTACATTAATTCATATAACCAAAGTACTTTCCAAGTACTTTGTCTATAGAATATTGAAGAAACTATAAAGTGAATTTGTTTTCCTCTCCTGCAAAATTTAAAAAATGTGTTGGAGTTTGTTTATTGGTACTGACTGTAATAGCTTCTGTTACAGTCTAGGAGGTTAAATACAGTAAGTTAAACAGCAGAATAAGGTTTTTTTCTTTGTCTAACTATTTGTTTATTCTTTAATGAAACTAAAAAAAAAAAAAAAATCAGATTTTTTTTTTAGTACTAGTGAAACATTAAAATATAATTGGTGAAAAGAAATTGATAGTAATATCCTGTATGCTACCTCATCTCAACAGAAATTCTTTTGTATGGCTTGAAATGTTTAAAGTGTAATCCTACCTAGAGGAAAAAAATGCAAGCCATATCTAACCCCAAATTCTAGCTATACTGTAACATGTACAGTCACCCGTAAAGGAGCCCTTTTAACAAAAAAAGTACGCTAACTTATCATTAGTTTGAAGTATGTATCTATTTTGCTCACTGTAATAAAGCAAACTAGGTATATAAACTTACTAAAAAAGTCCAAGTGTAAATAATTATATAATATTCTGACACTTAAAAAAATTAGTTTTACACAATGTGATATGTAAAGCAAAATACCAAGAACATCTTAATTCTTTGGGATGATCAAAGTATAAGTAAGCAAAACTTACAAATAATGATTAAGTTTTCATAAAAGAAGGTTTTTGGTGGAGGGGCAAAAGGAATTTCCCCCCCCACTCACCCTCAATCCCCGTGGCTTTTATAGATCCATCCCCTTCCCTAATAAGCCACAGTCAGGGTTTTTTTGGATATATTGTAGTAAGGTTATCTTCTATATATGAGTCACTAATAAGTGACTCTTTCAAAACATAGTTTGTTCTTCTTGAGGTTTACAGTGCTTCAGAATTTACAGGCCACTAAGACTGTAGAAGAATATTAATCTGAACTAATTATGTTAAAGTTTAATGAAATAAAAATTTCATTATTTACTGTGAAAATTAAGTTACCTTCTGTTGTAATAATTCAATTCAAGTTTATTTCAAACCCCCCACCCCCCCTTGAAAAGAAAAAATAAAAAAAAAAATGTTTTGTTGTTAAAAGCTTGTAATTATACATAGCAAAGAAAAAAAACCTGCTCCTTGCCTATGGAAATATTTATAGTTTTTTAAGATCCAACCCCTCTCTAACCTGCTAACCATCACATAACATATGCCATTTGGCAATTTGTCTCCTGGGATATTCACAAATTTCTTTCCAGTGCTCTCCACCTGTTCCTTCTGCTGAAGATCCCAAGGTCAACCGGCCAATGACCTCATTCCTTGACCCTCTATCTGAATCTAAAACCAGAAATTCAATGCTGATATCATCAAGGCCTTCACAAGGAATGTCAAAGACAAACAATTCATTGAATACTGCATTGGGGGTGCACTTCTTCACATGGGTCTTCTTCTTAGAAATTCTCTTCTTGGCATGGTACAGGTTCACTTTGACATAAGGGTCTGCAATGAAAAGAAAGAGCACAGATTAGATATTGAACAGTGTTTAGAAATTCCTTGATGTAACTTATGGTAAATTCCACAATTATCCAATATAATTACATAATGATGAGTAGTTGTATCAAGTTATTAAAATTGATTCCTCTCATCCAATTTTTAGGTTTTTTATTTACATCTGAATTAGCCCCTTTAATATCCCTTTATTGTCACCAAAATTGTGTTCAAGGCAGGCAGTGAAGTTTAGGCTGCAACTAAATACAGGTGTTTCCTTCATGAGATAAATCCTGTCCTGCAGTCCATGAAACCCACAACACCTCTACCACATTCAAAGATGGTCTGGAAGTGCACAAAATTCTAAAGGTTTCTGAAAAATATGTAATATTACACATTTATCTGTGACAGAAATTTGCTTTTCACACATTCTTCTGGGTATAATCATCAGCACTAATCAAACCCATAAAAAGAAAATTTTCAGAAAAGCGTGAATAAAATTGGGCTGAGAGAATGAATGTGATGTTTCTGCTGGGGTCCTACAGAAGCCAATTCATCTGACTAAATTGAGGTTACCAATTGTTATTGAACAAATTTGACACTAAATTTTAAATGTAAGAGTATGTTTGCTGTTAGAACGTGTATCTGTCTTTACACCTGTGCTGTACTACTGTTGAATATGGGAAGAGAAAATGTCCATATATTTAGCTGCCAACCAACTTTGAGTGTTTGCATTAATCACAATTATTTAATTGTTGTGAGGTTCCCTTGCTATGTTCTTCAATAATGGCCATATTTATTCTTTCAGAGGAGACATTTTAAAAGTCAACCCTTTCAATTATCTTGGCATTTATTCAGTGAAATTGTGGGCCTGTTTCCAGGTTCTCATGGTGCAGTGATGTAGTACAAAATCTTCTCTACTGAACCCAGTCAAACATGATAGTTTATGTAAACAATTAACCAAGTTAATCACCAAGAACTCCTGAATACTTTTTTAAAAGAAGTAACACTACAGCTGAACAGACCACAGTTATCAAACTGAAAGGGTTGGATGAGTGCAAGTTATAAGCTGAACAGAATTTATACATTCTATGCCACAGTTATCAAACTGAAAGGGTTGGATGAGTACAAGTTATGTTTTTCCTTGAACTTACAATAATCTGACATAGGTGGGGTACCTCTTCACTTTCATATTCTATTACCATAATGAGCTTTTAAAAAACAGAGATTAATAAGAACACTCCCTGGCTTTTAAATTATTGTATGTCATGCAAGAATTAGAAATATCAAAATTAATATCAATCAGTGGATTCATACTCGTTTACATTTCTTTTTAGAGGAAGTTTTCTGTTACCTTTGACCAGCTACATGATAAGTCTAGAGAGTTTGACTTGATTTTATTAGGATAGCAAAGGTCACTCAGAACCAGTGACCATGGAAATCAAGGAGATTGTGAAAATTGATGAGTTTCTGAGTATTAAAAATTTCCCTCTTGTCAAGGAGGTTGAATTGTGGAATTGTTTATTTTATCCCATAGAAACACCACTTCACTCTCCTCCTTTTCCAAGATTAATGCTGGGATGAGGAGAAAGTCACAGAGGAAATTTGGAGTGTCCTGAGTGCAGTATGCTACTGACATCCAAATATCTATTGTACCCAGCCTATTGACGAACAGAAAGAAATGGAAAACTGTTTAAATGGAGTAGGAATCCAGGTGCAACATGGCTGCCTGCAGAAATTTTGCTTTCCCATTGTAGTCAGCAAGGCTCTCCCAGGGGATGCAAGAAATGCAAACAAACTTTATAGGTTTACTTGTAAGAGCTGCAGTAAAATATGGGTGTTCCATAGGGTCCAAGTGGATGCTGTGACTGTGGCATTTTTTACCAAGTTATTTTCCCATCTGAGTAAACATCAGGCAGGTCTGTTGAGATCAGCTGGTTGTCATGCTGTCTCTATGAAGCCACCACTATCTCCTGTGACTTTGGGGTTGATTTTTAAAAATATACATCCTCTCTTTTAGTCAAGTAAATTGTTGGTCTCAATATACATCTTCTCTCCTTCTGATATGTGAGCAAAATTTAGATCAAAAAGGAAGATTTAAATGGAACTTGATGAGGGTTACCTATTGGTTTGTTGCATTGGATTCAGGATAGGCTAACTTTCCAGGTGAATTGCAGTATGAAAAATAGAAAAGCTGTATTATTGGCTGCAGTGATAGTTATTCAGTGTTTCCCAAAACTACTTCCTCCTCTTCTTCTTCTTTTATAATATTGAGTGAAATAAAAGACTGTAAGTTCTATAAAGAAGCAGCAGCAGATGTGGTACTACAGTCCTTTTTTGTGTACTGTTGTTTTTGTGTGGCAGTCTTATGTACAGGACATTAAATTTTATATTGTTATTATGTTATATAGCCTTAATGTGTCTTCTATGTGCAATTCTAGAATTGGCTTCAGAGGAGGTTCCACTGAATGAGAAATGGCAGCAGACAAGGAGAAGAGAGGATAAAATCTGATCCCGCTTAGTGCACCCCAAGTTTGGCTCACAATAAGGCACACGTGTCATGCTGCAGCATCCTCCCAGTACTGGCACAGCTCACCTTTTCACCTTGCCAAAAAAATGTTAGTGCTCAGTGGCCAAATTCAACACAGAGGAAAAAGGCTGCTTTTCTTCTGAGATAAATTATATGATGATCTCACTCAATACTGATCTTCTACAAATAAACTCATTTTTTGTCATAAATAAAAGCTTTTGGTATCTGCAAACAACATCCCACACTTATGGCAGATGGGTTCTGTTCAAGACAATCATAAAACTCATTGGTTTCCACTCCTAACAGATGTCACCTTTTTGATGTGATTGAAGAACAAATTTGTAAAATACATACTCTGGAAATAAAGCATTGATCTAGATATGAATGAAATGAATAGGCTGTAAATAGCAGAAACACCATTTCTGCATGTATGGTATATTTTTAGTCTTTGAAATGCTGCATTTCAGCTGTCTTTTGTCATTCTGTTTTATATACGTAGGGCATATTCATTATTAAAACCATTACCTGATAATCCTGACACGTCAGATTTAGGTAGATGCCTGGCTTTTAGAACAACGACAGTTAGTGTGTTTGTTGTAGATTGATAACAGAGAGAGACCAGCAATTCTCCACGACCAGATGATTTCTGAGGAAATTAAAGGAAAAACAGAAAAAAAAGGAGTAAAACTGTTTATAAGCATTTATATTGACCAAGCTTTAAACCAGAGTTAAAAAGGTTTATGAAATGCCACAGAAGTGTATGCTCTGAAGCTGTCTAAAAGGACATACCATATATAGCTATTCTGATTTACATAGTGATTATAATTTCCCTCCATATTAGTTATATAACTTTTCCTATGATTGGTTATCAGACTGAATAAAATTAAAAAATAAGTGCACAATATAAGTTGGCATGACAGCACTATCTTTGGAAAGTAGAAATGAAATTCTAAGAAAAAAAAAATCTCAGCTAAAAAAAGAAACTTATCCTAAGCAAAACAAAATTCTATGAAGATATAATGGGGAGAAAAACATCTAGTTCAAGTAAAGAAAAAAATATTTGCTAAAGTATTTTAAACAGGAAGGATTCAAACAGTCAGTGAAATCTTATCGATTGACACTCTTTAAAGCAGTATAATATACATGAAATAAAGGTGAGATAAAAGATTTTCTCTATCATTATTTGATTTGAATTTGCAGGAGTAGTTTATTTCAAATGGAGAAGGAAGGTAAGGGAGACAAGAGAAGACAGTACCTTATATACCAGAAAATCCAATAGATTATTAAAAAAAAAGATCAGTGACATATTTATATTTGTTGTCATATAGTGAGAGAATTGCAAAATAACAGTATTAGTTATAGGTATGTTGCCTAGTAGACATTTGTTTTATTTGCCAGTATGCTTGTCACTTGAAACCAATCATGTTGAACATCAATACACATTCCACTTCCTCAGCAGAGATATAAGAGTGTGTGTGTGATGCCTGTACATTTCTGTGGTTCAGCTGGGGTGGTTGTAAATGACCCTTGAATTCTGAACTGAGACAACACAGCATTAAATATTTTTGTCCCAATAAACTCAGGAAGATTTGTTGGTAACTCCACAAAGTCTATAGCTTCACCCTTACTACCTCTAGTAAATCTGCAGCCTCTTTCAATCCATGAGAGACAAGATGGTGACAGCACCAACATGCAAGAACATGCTACAACATCAACAATATCGTCTCTAGCAGGTCCCACTTCCCTAATTAAAGAGCACCTACATTCCTTAAGAATGTGCTACACAACTCATGCAGTTGATATTTCCATTGACTTCAGTAAGATTTAAGAAAGGATGATGTCAAATATAAAAGGGGCCAGAGGAGAAAGGGAATAATACATAAATATTTTTATTCTTTCATCTAAAAGCAGTTAAAAGCAAATCAGTGGGGATTGAGTCTGCTTCAGCTAACTGGAATTCGTCCACTCAAACCTGCTGGACCAGATAAATAAGAAATTAGAACTTAGGGCATTAGCAATTTCTTTGCTTGTAATTTTTTTTTTTATTGCATTTGTGTAATGGTTTCTTCACAGTGCCATTAGGAAAGCATCTCAGGAATTGCATTATGAGCTTTTTGGTTTTTCTTTCCAAGATGGCAGCAGCATTACACAAGACTCATAGCTAACCCTATCACAACATTTTCAAACTTTGAACAAAAAAGGTGTTACCCTAACATTTCTTTTGATGATCTCTCTGTCCATTAGCAGCCTTCCTTCCGAGAGTTCAATTCCAGCGAGGGGGATGAGGACTTCGCCAATGACATCATCTCTGGAAAATCTGTCAAAGCTCAAGATCATGAAGTGAAGCGTTAAGTCTTGAATTTGGCTGTAGGGGATCCCATAAAATGTGAAAGTCTCATCAAAAGCTGGATCTAAGGTTTTTCTCAGCACTCTGGTTTTCACCTTGTGCTTTTTCTCAGGCAGGATTGTCATTTTGATGTAGGGATCAGAAGTCATTGACTGTTCATCCATTGCTGGCAGCCCACGAGCTTCTTTGATGTTCACTACAAATGCCTTTTTCTCAAAGTTGTACTCTAAGGAGAAAAAGAGAGTTCCTAGCTTGTCTTGTTTATCTTCAGATGACAGAGAAGTGATGGATTTTAAGCTATCAGGGGATACCGAATCTTTCTTCCTTTCTGCAAAGTGTTTAGGAGATGAATTTTCAAGATCAGGAGAGCCCTGCATTTTTGTGTTTGTTTTGGGGAAATTGCCATTTAGATCTCTCTTCTCCAGGTCAAGATGGAGAGAGTTCTTTGGCATTGCTGATTTGTTCTTTGCTTCACTTTTATCATCTGCTCCAAACTTCTTCTTGCTGTTGAGATTCTCAGGGTAAATATCAACCCCCTTCAGAACATGGACAAACTTGTATGGAGGGGTCTTATTGGACTTGGAAGATTTGCGTTGGCAGCAGATCCAGGCAAAGAGGGAGACAGAGAAGACAAGGCCAAATGCACTAAAGATCCCAACCACTGCAGGAATTTCATCTGCAAATTAAATAAATAGCAACAAGCACATAAGCAGCAGTACCTTGAATTCTGCATGATATTTAATAAAGCAATAATTTAGTAAAACAAACTGATATAAGATGGTGATATCAGCAGGATTGACAGACTGGAAGTGCTCTGCATTGTACACATTGCTCGCCACCTGCAGGCACCAGTGTGTAGTCCCACTCCAAGGCATGCTTGTTATGCTAGTATTTTTCCATACACGGAGAGTTAGGAAGGAAAATACTATTCCCATCTTAATAATAATCACTGTTCATAATTTCTCTACTGTCTCAACCCTCTGTGTGTAGTTTCTGAGCTTATATGTCTGTGAATAATATCAGCTCTCAGCTGTTTTCAGCTTTGAGTTTATGGAGGTTTGTTGGTTAGCTAAAACACACTCTGAAATATATATTACCTATAGATACATTATCTGCTTTCCATAGTGTTTCCTAGAATACTTTGTGCAGTCAATTAGCTATTTTTTATGGTCTGTTCCCAAAATTGCCTGTAGGTACCTCTTGAAAGAATTAAGTTTAATTGAAAGTTATAGCACTCAACAGTTTCACTGGGATTTTCAATACTTTGCAGGAGGAAGTCTATCAAGAAAATTTCAAATAATTATAAAGCAAATGTCTTTTCCAGATGGATGTGATATTAGGTAGAACATGTGAGTTCAAGGCTGAAAAAATCATGTTAAGTTAATCAATGATAACCACTAAGCTTTAGACTTAAGACACTGAAAAAAAGCTTATGGGGAGTTTACAGAAAGGGTGAGTACTTCTTAGAAGTACATAAGAAAAAACATTGTAACATAATTCTCTACAGTTTAACATGAATTCTATACTTACACTGAATAAAGAGAAACCTGGGCAAGTGCTACAACCTCCTTTGCCAAGTGGATATATTATTTACATAAGGAGTATCATTAGCCCTTCAAAGCACGCATTGAAGGGTAAATGAGCACAACTAATTAGAAATCCAATTTTGCCCATAAGTAACATTACTAAGTGAGTTTAAACCTCCCACAATGTAACAATCAGAGCTTAACCTTTATTCCCTGCAACAGTGGACATACAATGGAATATTAATGTCGTGACATTGTTTATGCATAAAGGCAATTATGTAACAGTTCTGTTTCTCTCTGGTCATTCTGGACGAGTAAAGAAGAACTATCCCTCTGTATTATGAAATCAGCTTCATGAGATCAAAAGCTGAGCAGATAAATGTGCTGCCAATACACCTTTGCTTTTTAGTGTGATGATTCAGAAAAAAAAGATCCACAACAATACTATCAGACCAAAGTAGGACATAATGTTCCAGCTCAGAAAAGATCAGGCCTGCCTATTAATTTTTTTATGACAACTTTCCTGACACCTACAAGCTCTACTAGTCCATATACTTAATTACAGGAAATTAATGAAGTTACTGACAACCATATACGTAACCAAAAAAGTATTTTTCCTAACTTAAGCACATGGTTTTAAGTTTCAAGAATTCTCTGGGCTGCAGAATTTTAAATATACATGATATAAAACAGAGAGCTAAAAGTAATTGGAAACTAATCAGAATACTTTAATATCTTTTAGGAATGGTTTGTATATACTTTCTCATGCGATAATAGACTTTTCATAGTAATGGATATTATATTCTACTTTAATTCTACAACTACTGAAAGTAGTTGTATAATCAATTTGATATTAAAATATTAATTAACTTTCTTAAATAAGTAATTAGACAAGCATGATGTCACAAGTGTGGTTAGAAACCCCAAGTGGGTGGAATAGGAAAGAAGATGAAATGGTAACTAAAATGGTTTTATGTTTACAACTAATTGTGTCACAAAGTGAATTTCTTGTTTTTGTCCTAATCAATTGGTTAACATTCAAGGCAGTGCATTAATAGAAAAAATCACCTACTGATTCTGGGAGAAGTTATTATTCCAGTTATGCGACATAAATCTGGAGTCTCTTAACTAAGTCAGTGGAATGATCCTTGAATCAAACCACTGCTAAAGCAAACCCAGTGTAGGTTAGAGTCAATATTTGTAAAGCAGAGTTTGGAAATGTTCCTTCTTGCCGCTTTTCTCACTAAAGCAACTTATGTAAGCATTTTATAAGTGCACATACATGACTGCTTCTGAAACTTCTGGTACCTCACTACATCCAGGGCATAGAAATGACAAAACTGAAAAGTTCATTGTCATCTTTGTTATTCTCATTGAAACCAGGTTGGTTAAGATGCAGCTGTTCAGCTAAAAACACTGAAATCCTGTATTTTCATCTTTCTAGCAATGTCCTTTCACTTTAAGTAATGACTGACCTACAATAAGAATAAAAGGAAAGACAATTATTTGAATTACTTGAACAAAGATTTTCACTGTGGCATTTACATCATGTAACTCTTGCTGCACATTACTTTAGCACAGACACAGAAAACAGCACCAAACCTCTCTCATCCAAAACCGCACCTACAAAAATCTCTTTATCTCTTGCGGTACTTTACCAGGGAGGACGAACGGGGAGGGAGGGAACCGAGATTAGGGAAAGAAGGCAAATCCACACAACTTCTGAGACCTGAAGAGAACTGGGGGGAAAACCAGGTCCCTCCCAACAAGCTGCGTGCTGGGAGGCACCGGGAGGCTCAGCAGAGGCTGCTCTTCTCGCAGGGAGGGGAGCATCGCCCGGCCTCGGGTGCGGGGAGCCGGGACTCGCTTACCGAACTGCTGGCGGCTGTCCGCTATCGGAGCCATGATGGTGGCGAGTACTGTCCGCGGTGCTGGAGCCGCTGTCCGCGGTGCTGGAGCCTCTGTCCGCTGTGCTGGAGCCGCTGTCCGCGGTGCTGGAGCCGCTGTCCGGGATGCGGGAGCCGCCTCCCCGGATGCCAAGCGACCCGCCCGAGGCACTGAGCTCACTGCCCTGCTGTCCCCTGGCTCTCACGGCGCCCGGGTAACCGTCTTTGACAGCGCAGTTAAAAAAAAAAAAATACAAAGAGAGGAAACAACAACAAAAACCACCCAAAACCCAGAGACACAGGCAGTGGGGACAGTGGAGGAGGAGGCTGCGATGGGACTGGAGGAGAGGGGGGAGGGGAACCTTCGGTCCTCCCCTTTGCACACTGATTTGCAACCCCCTTCCTGTTTTGGCTCTTCTGAGTAGCTCTGCTCTGAGACTGAGTACGTGGTTGAAACCCAAATTGACGCAATCCTGACGCTACAGGGCTGAAATCAGCACCTTTCCCGCCTCCCTGCCCCCCTCCCTAGCCACCACACCCTCCCTCCCTTCCTCTCTGTCTCTCTCTCTCCCTTCCTACACCCTCCTCCTCCCCCTCTCCTCGTCCCTGTCTTGGGATTGAACACACACTCATCGATTATTTTAACTGCCTTGCTGCAGGTTATGAGCTCCCCCACACACCCCTCCACCGGACACAGACAGTGAAATGGCAATGTCTGTGATTCAGTGCACTCTCTGAAAGACATGGGTGTGCCTCTTTTGCCAGGATAAGATCTATTCATTTGCTTAATTAACTATCAGCTGTGCATGTTACAACAATGCGAAAGAGTTGCTAACCTGAGAGAGTCCAGACACCTCGGCTCCAGCTGCAGGACACACGTTTTTCCTATGACTGACGTGATACATTTACTGAATTTGAGTCACGAAAACTCAGGATGTGACTTGTCCCTGTGCCTCCTCCCTGCCTCCTCACAGCATCCATCCCCATATAAACAGCCCCCAGTTTGGAAATCCTCTTGATATTCCTGCAGGTCTGGGAAAGAGATGACTTTACTTCTAGATTTTACTGGTTTAAATGTGTTGTCTTCCAGTGTGAACTGAGAATGTGGTGGGGAGACAGTGAAAGTGTGTCAGAGAGGAGGAATGTGGGGGGAGCAGGACAAGAAAGCAGGACTGCCTGTAACTAGAATGTCTACAGTGTATAATAAACCAAGATAACTCCTCGCGAAGCAGAGCTGCAAAAGCCAGCACCTGGCATCTGACTCCTCCTGGATTCAAATGGAAGTATAGCTGCCAGGTTTGGAGCTAATTCTTCTGCATAAATATGAAACAGGTGTTCCTTCTCTAAATAGCAAAATCCAGATGCAGACATTGTCTGGCATGACCTTACTCCATGGTCAGTCACTTGAAAGCTAGTATGTCTTGCCCCATTTCAAAGCACATTCTTCCTTCTGAGTGAAGTCAGTGAAGCTCCTGGGATTTTAGAAAAATTAAAGTAGGAAGATAATGGAATCTTAGAATACCTTGAATTTGAAGGGGCTTGTAAAGATCATCAAAGTCCAACTCCTGGCCCTGAGCAGAGCACCCCAAGAATGCCACAGTGTGCCTGAAAGCATTGTCAAAATGCTTCTTGAGCTTTGCCAGGTTTGGTTCTATGACTACTGCCCTGAGGAGCCTGTTGCAGTGCCCAACCACTATTTAGGGGAAGAGCCTTTCCCAAACATCCAGCATAAACCTCCATGACTAAGCTTCAAGTAATTCCCTCTTGTCCTGTCACTGGTCACCACAGAGAAGTGATCAGTGCCTGCCCTTCTGCTGCTTCTCATGAGAAACATACAGAATGTATATACAGTTGTATGTGGTAATGTTGTTCCCCCTCAGCCTCCCCTTTTTCAGCTGAACAGACGGAGGGTCCTCATACTTCTCATACTGTTTCACCTCTGGATCCTCTACCATCCTCACAGCCCTCCTTTGGACACCCTGTAAGACCTTTGTCTCTCCCTTATACTGTGGCACCAAAACTGCTCACAGTATTCAAGGTGAGGCAGCCATAGCCCAGAGCAGAGTGGGACAATCCCCTCCCTTGCCTGGATGGTGATGCTGGGCCTGATGTCCCCAGGACAGGGATGTCCCTCCTGGCTGCCAGGGCACTGCTGACTCCAGTTCCACTTGCCACTGACCAGGACCTCGAGGTCAGAAAAACTGGTTTCCATGGCGCTGCTTTCCAGGACCTCATTCCCCACTCTCTCCATACACCCAGGGTTGCCCTATCATGGGTAGAAATCTGGCACTTTCCCTTGCTGAACTTCTTACATTTGGTGATTTCCCATCTCTGTCATTTGTCAAGGTCTCTCTTCAGATCCTCTCTGCCACTGAGGAAGTCAACAGCTCCTCCCAATTTAGTATCATTGGCAAACTTAGACTCTCTAAGAGGCAACAGGACAAGCTGGTGTAAAAACACAGTTGAATTAAGTGTCTGGCATATCATGGGTCTTGGGAATCCATTGTTTTTTTGTTAATATTGTTTTTGTTTATCTGCTTCTGCTATACCTTCAGCAACTGGCCCAAAACTCTTGCAGGAAGAGCTACACCCAGTACCCTCATTATCATTAGATCCTACTCCTTTTAATAAAGGAGTATAGCTTGCCACCTGTTCTCTTACTAACACCTGGGGTGCAATGAATTTGGGTATAAGAAGACTGAAGAAACTGTTGTAGAGCTCTCTTTTTGGTGTTTGGCAGCACAATTTGATTTGGAATCTTCGGATTCACCTGTTGGCACAAATCCAACAAACCTGGCTCAGTTTCTTTATTCTTTCTGGCAATCCTCATTCCCTTATCCCTGCTATCCACTTCTCTTCCCCTGTCGAAAACCTTGCTCAAAATGTGCAGACCCTGAAAGCAATCACATTTGATTTTAGACAACATTCCAAGTATATGAACCTCCACACTTGACTGAAATAAACAAAATCTTAAAAAAATTTGGATTTAAACACATATAACTGGATTATTGGATTATTGTAAATTACTATGTCTGGACTTTAAAAACAAAGGACTGAGAATCAATATATGGTATATCCAGGTAGTGCATTTATCCTGCTTGAGCTGGGATAAGGTGAGCATAAATATTATGTTGACACTTGAATTATTGTCAGTAATTATTGAATCTTTTTATTTTCTTTTTTTTTTTTTTTTTTTTTTTTTTTTGGTTAAGCAAACCCCAAGACTTCCTTTGTCGAAATATACATCCTGTAGAGACCACACGGAATTATAAAAATGATTGATTCTGGTTTTCTTCTGTTTAGTTTCTCATATGTCCCAGGGATATATATAAAAATCTTTTACACAATATGTACTTTATTTTAATAATTCACAGGGATAATTCCCTTTAGCATTCAGTGGTTTTTTTTTTTTTTCTTTTCTTTTTCTTTTCTGGGACTATGCCGATGAAATCAGGAAAGTGTATGTCCTTTTATTTCTTTTTTTTCTGCTTTTCAGAAATTCGTGACAGCTCGTGGTAGGTTTTAGATACCAGTTAAGTCTTGAGTGGTGTTGTGTGTCATACAAACATACAGTAGAAAGTCCTTCCTTTCATCTCAGTTTTGTGCATGTGTATCACTTTAATAAAGGTAACATAAAAAATGTTTCATGACATCAAGTCTCTGTCTTTAGAAACTTGGACCTGCCAAGACTGTGTATACAGAAGCACATGTAAACATATCTATATATATGAAAAAAAAAGTAATTTTATATCTTTATTGCTTTGGTCAGCAAAATAGCAAATAAATATTTTTTACGTCACACATTAACATTCTATATTTAATACAGCACTCCGCTTAATGGAACAGAGTGTTCATCACAGAAAATACTTGAGGGGGAGGTGGAGCACTGAGCTGCTGACACATCTCGAGACAGACACACGTTCACTGCCTGCGTTGTGCAAGCACCATCTAGTGTACGTCTCAGAGCCATCAGCAATGGATGACAAACCCGCAACCCTGTAGGTACTACAAGCACAAAGATATATAGCCAGCCCACTGCTGATTCATTGCACTTCTAACAAGTGCCCAGAGAGGAAATCGTGTGAACCCAGTGTGTTTCTTAACCAATTAAGTGATGGCCTTTCTGTCCTGCAAAACAGTAATGACTCTTCATTTCTGTAGCTGTAAGTTCTTCACATTTCCCTCTGTTCTAAGGCAGCATTGTGTATATTCCCTCCACACAGTCTGAAAAAAGCTCTTCAGTACAAACTTAGGCTAGGAACTCACTGCCCAGGTAATATTCCCTTTCTTTTTCCTGCAAACAACGATCTCAAACTCTTCCAGCTCAGAGACAGAACATTAAAAGGAGCTGAATAAGATTTTGCCTGCACTGAATCAAAATGGATTGATCATCTGGAAAATATCACAGTATGTGACCTGGCTGACTGTATGACAACGGGACCTTCTGTGGTCTGAAAACCAGATCACTGGTGCACATGCATGCGCAGAGCATCCTCCTGCTACTCCAAGAAGAGGGAGTGTGGTTGCTAAGTGACAGAGATTGTACACTTCCCAAAGCAGAGTCCCCAAACTCACACATAAGGCTGGAAAAGCACCCCCCCCCCCCCCCCCCCCCCCCCCCCAC